AATCCAGGTAGAAAAATCTAAAAAAGTTAAATCTGGTCCTCTGGACATTCAAAAAAACAAAACAAAGCAAATCAACAAAAAAATGTAGAAACGTTTCGTCTCTCATCCAAGAGACTTCCTCAGTCTGAGGAGCTGTATTCAGCTCAGTCTCTTAAATAGCACCGTCTCAGAGTGGATCAACCAGTTTTGCTGCTGACAACCAAAACCAGCTGATCACATGCTCAAGAAGGACCATCAGCCTAACAATGGATCATTAGCACACTGATGGCTGTTTACTGTTCACAGAGGGCTGAGTGATACTAGCAATCGCAGCATTGTAAGAGGGGGACAGTTGAACCCGGAGGCCTCCACCCCTGTTTAACGATGGACGATTTCTTTTCACAAAGATGGCCTCCTTTACTCCTCTCTCAAACCATTGTTCCTCTCTGTCCAGGATGTGAACATCTTCATCCCTGAAAGAGTGACCGCTGGCCTGGAGATGAGTGAAGACCGCAGAGTCCTGGCCTGATGATGTTGATCTTCTGTGCTGGGCCATCCTTTTGGCCAGTGGCTGTTTAGTTTCCCCGATGCAAGACTGATCACAGCCCTCCTGACACTGAACAGCATACACAACATTACTCTGTTTGTGCCGGGGGACTGGATCTTTGGGATGAACCAGTCTTTGCCGTAATGTATTTTGGGGTTTAAAAGCCACTGGGACGTTATGTTTAGAAAATAAACGTCTCAGTTTCTCTGATACTCCCTCAACATATGGAATGACCACTGTTCTGGGTTTGGGTTCCTCCTTTTCACCTGATGGCTGACTGGAGTCCTGTTTGGGTTTCTTCTCTGCTTTTAGGAAGGCCCAGTTAGGATATCCACATTGCTCTAGAGCCTGTCTTGTGTGGGATTTCTCCTTTTGCCTGGCTCCTGAGCTAATGGGGATGCTGTCTGCTCTGTGATACAGAGTCCTGATGACTCCTAATTTGTGCTCCAAAGGGTGATGGGAGTCAAACTGCAAATACTGGTCTGTGTGGGTGGGTTTGCGGTACACCTCAGTTTGCAAATGTCCTCTATCAGAGACTGAGACCTCACAGTCCAAGAAAGCCAACTTGCCATTTTTTTCATCTTCTCGTGTGAACTTGATGTATTTATCCACAGAGTTGATGTGGTCAGTAAAATGTTGGACTTCCTGAGATTTAATTTTAACCCAGGTGTCGTCAACATACCTGAACCAATGACTTGGTGGTGTCCCTGAAAAGGACGTCAAGGCTCTCTTTTCTACCTCTTCCATGTACAGGTTGGCAACAATAGGAGAAACTGGAGACCCCATAGCACACCCATGTTTCTGCCTATAATATTGCTCCCCATATGTGAAGTAGGTTGACTGCAGGCACAGTTTCAAGAGTTGACACAGTTGTTCTATGGAAAGCGTGGTCCTGCTGCTCAGAGTGGTGTCTGATTTTAATTTTAAACTGACCACCTCTACTGCATCATCAACAGGAATGCATGTAAAGAGTGATGTGACATCAAAAGAGACCATTGTTTCATCAGTCTCCATGATGACATCCCTCACCTTATCCACAAAGTACATGGCGTTCTGTGGTGTCCCCTCTTACAATGCTGTGATTGCTAGTATCACTCAGCCCTCTGTGAATAGTAAACAGCCATCAGTGTGCTAATGATCCATTGTTAGGCTGATGGTCCTTCTTGAGCATGTGATCAGCTGGTTTTGGTTGTCAGCAGCAAAACTGGTTGATCCACTCTGAGAAGGTGCTATTTAAGAGACTGAGCTGAATACAGCACCTTAGACTGAGGAAGTCTCTCGGATGAGAGACGAAACGTTTCTACATTTTTTTGTTGTTTTGCTTTGTTTTGTTTTTTTTTGAATGTCCAGAGGACCAGATTTAACTTTTTTAGAGTAGTTAAATATTATAGACCCCCAATAAACAAAGATAAATGCTAGTTTGCCTTTGAGTGATCTTCCTCTTTACAGAACAATGAAAGATTTTAAAAACTTATTTTGTGTTACAGGATGTGGTATGGATGATGTCTGCATCACCCAGGCCATTTCTCTGTGTAAGAAAGTTGTCAGCAGCTTCTCCCACAGCTGGAAGAAGAGAACTGGCTGAAGTGCTGGGTCTTCCAAGCCACAAGCTCGTCACAGGGACAGCCACTCACTGGGGATCAAGGTTACACCTGTGTAACACTAGGTACCTGTGTAAATCCATTAAAACCAGCACTGTGATTACCTATCCACCTGTTGGACATAGTTCAAGACCAAGTCCACTCTGAGTGAGAAAATGGATGCACTACAACAAAAAGTCATCTGGGAAGTGGCGCGTCTCTGCTCAACTATCAGGACAGATGTTTGTCTGAGCCGCCTAACACAGCAGCGCCTGAGTCTGCAGACCAAAGAGAAGCAGCAGTGGCACACAGCTGAAAAGAAGAGATCACGGGGAAGATTCTTCCAGTACAAATTACAAAACAGCCACCATCACCACCTCCACACAGAGGGAGGCAACAGAAAATTTACTTTCTAGCTGCCTGTTGTCAGTTTGTGTAGAGAGTGATGATGACCCTCTCAAATGGTGGAAGGAACAAGAAGTTGCCTATCCAGCACTGAAACACCTGGTCAACAAATATGTTGTGTGCCAGACACCAGCTCCCCTTCTGAAAGTTTTTCAGTTGCAGTGGGAACATTGCAACCTGCCACAGGGCATCCTTAAACCTAACACTGTTTGTTGACAGACACAAAATCTGTAGTTGTACAGTACTCCACCTGGCCTGGTGTGTGCTCATTATATTTTAACATGACCTCAGTAAATGTACACGGTATACTGTGTACATAACCTTAGTAAAAGTGCAAAGTATAGTGTTTTCTAATGAAGCAATGAAGTTGTAAGAAGACGCCAACCTGCAGCATCAAGACCAACATGATTCTGAAGGAAGAGAGGGGTCTGAAAAACTTTTCTTTTTTTCAGGGGTGGTCTGATGAGTTTTAATAAATTACAGCACAGAAAGTCCTTTGCAGAATATAAATTTACTTTTTTATTTGTCAGACTGACAGATTTCTCTCTTTAAATGATTACTTCATTCAAAAGGATTAGATTTACAGGATTTCAGCTCATGTACTCTCTTAATCCTATTTATTATTCATATTTGATCTTCACAGTACAGTTTCCTCTCTGTATGGTTCTAAATTCATCCAAACAGACACACCTTGTTGTTGCTAAAACACTGAAGAAGTGAGTTTTGCAGATATTTATGATAAACTACAAACACCTGAAACTGACTCAGAGAGAGAATGTCATGAGTTTGGGAAAAAGTTGAAAGTTAATCACAGACACACATTTCTGCTATAATCTGGGGCACAAACATTCATCTTTTAGTTATTATTTTTTTAATTATAAGAACTGAAGCAGCAGACAGTCTGTCTCATTGTGAGACTTGAGCTTTGTGCTGGTGTGCTCTCTCTCTGACCTGGAGTTTGGTCCTGCACAACTTGGACACGTCTGTATGACGACGATACTCTGAACATATTAACATTTAATACAAAGTTAGATTTTCGATACAAAGGTTACAGTGAGGTTGGGGCGCGGTGTGGGAGGAGGGGGTGATGGTGTTTCAGTTCTGGTATTACCCCCAGCTGCAGTGAATTGGTCCCATGCGAACACACATTTAATAATTTGTGTAATCACCTTCATGGGGGGCGGGGGTTCCGTTAGGGTAGTGAGGTGTCCTCCTTGAAAAATGGTCCAGGAAACACTGACTGGTGCTCTCACCTGCAATCGGTCTCTAAGTTGGGAACACTGGGATCACTCACCATGTATCAGACAGCATGACCCGCCTTGCTCTGCTCTGATCGGGTCAAACTGTGGCTCTGGTTCTTTACTGGTTGAAAGCAGCGTCAGATTAATCTCTGTATCATTATTAGATTGGATGGCTTTAAAAAGACCACAACACACACTGTCCCCCCCCGTAGTCCTCAAATCATTCAAATATATTTGTCAGAAACAAACAGCAGCTGGAGCAAAACTGAAAGATCTGTGCAACAACATTTGAATGAAGCAAATTAGATGTTGTAGAGCAGTTATCGGCTCTACAGAACAGCTCACCAGTCCTGTTAGAATGAAACTTTATTTCTCCAAATGGAGGTCGTTCAAAGACTTGTCTACAACAGGTAAGATATTGTTCATAACTTTTCCACAGAAACCCCACTTTAAAATGGCCGAAGCATCTCTAAAATCAATTCCTGGGAATCAGTGAGTGACAATATTTGTTTTGTTCAGCTTAAACTACAATTACAATAAAAACAAAACAACAGAAACTCTGTGAGTTCACATGAAACGGTTACCTCCACTTTAACCAGATTTTAGAAACTCTCACTTTCAGTTCATTTTAATGTTGAACTGTGGAGTTAAAAGTATGGATGTGGTGTTGTAGCTCGATGAGCTCTGCAGTCTGCAGACAAACAATAAGGACTGAGACTTTAAAAACCAGCAGAGCAAACAGACCAAACCACACGAACTGTTCAACATTTATCTCACTACACTGCCTCCACTGAACAGCAGTTCAACAAGTGAAACGCACATGTTCATCGTCACTGAGAAGTTTGAAGAGTAGTTTTCTAGACGAGTGTTTGTCTGGACCAGACTTGAACAGGGAATGTAAATAAAATGTAAATAAACCTTTAAGTTTTTTGAGTAAAATATTCAAGTATGTCGGAGTTACACTGTGTATAAGAACAGCGGTAAAAATAATAATTATTGTCCGAGGCAGCACAGTCTCAGATCCTGGCGAGTGGAGGGAGCAACTGTATCCACACCTCCAGGTGCAGTGGAGAAGCCAGAGGGTGGCCAATGGTGGCCTTGGCCATTTCAGATTAATCTTCTGTCAGTGTTGACTAAGAGACTAAACATTCACCATGATGGGGAGTAACTAAATCTGTATTCATTTAGTGTCACCAAATCATTCAGAGCTGTTTCAAATCAATAGTCTGGATGTTTTTCCCCAGTTACCTCCAGTTCCTTCATGGTGACAATGCCATCGTGGTTGGAATCGATGACTTTCTCAAACTCGTTCTTCCTCTCTTTGACCCAGTCGTCATCGATGTCCTGGGCCTGCTGGTTCTCCACGGTGCCCACGGGTAACGAGATGAACTCGGACAGGGTCAGTTTGAAGTCATTGTCCTGGTCTGCAGGAGAAGTAGAGGAAACCTCTTCGTTACAGTCAGCTCCCTTTCAGCAGGTGCCTCCTCACATCATAAAACCTATCATTCACGATACACAACTTTGCTGCCCCATTCTGAGTGTTCAACAGTTCTCCACATATACAATGTTCCATGTCAGCCCCTGTTTGAAGCTTGTTAAACAGCATCAAACATAAAACCATGATGACATCAGTCTGAAGCCGGTCAAACTTTCCTTCAGTCCTGCCTACTGATGTGTTTTTAATCCTAACACACATAATTATTATTATCACACATTATTATTATGTAATTATTACTGTAGTTATTATTATCTGATTATCTCATGCTGCTGTATTCATTCGTACCCATCTGCTCACCACAGACTCATGTTCAGGCTGCTGTTAATACGCTGTATTGTTGTAAATTATTAGTGTTTAGTGTATAAATAATAATAAACACAGTTACTTTGCCAGAGCAAAATCATAAAATCATTAAATGTGGATTATTGAACATCAGATCTCTTTCCTCTAAATCCCTGTTAGTTAATAAACTGATAACTGATCATCATATTGATTTATTCTGTCTGATAGAAACTTGGCTACAACAGGAGGATTTTGTTAGTATAAATGAATCCCCTCCTGTTAATTACTTAAATTTTCATGTTCCTAGAACAACTGGCCGAGGTGGAGGAGTAGCTTCTATTTTTCAGTCAGGAATATTGATTAATGCCAAACCAGTTATTAGTTATGATTCTTTTGAATCACTGTACCTCAGTCTTTCTCATCCAAAATGGAAATCAGAAAAGCCACTTTTACTAGTTGTTATATATCGTCCACCAGGCGCGTACTCTCAGTTTTTGTCTGAATTCTCAGAAGTATTAACTGACTTATTATTAAATACTGATAAAATCATCAAAATGGGTAATTTCAATATTCATGTAGATGTTGAGAGTGATAGCTTAAGCATAGCCTTTAGTAATTTGGTAGACTCATTTGGTTTTACCCAAAACGTCCGCACATCTACTCATTCTTATCATCACACTCTTGATTTAGTTCTGACCTATTGTATAGCGATTAAGGACTTGGGAATAGTTCCTCAAAATCCTATTCTGTCTGACCATTTTTTAATAACCTTTGAGTTTACATTAAATGACTACACAGTCACAGAGTAAATTTCATCTCAGCAGGTGCTTATCAGAAAATGCTGTCACCAAATTTAAACAACCTCTTCCATCAATGTTTTCCTCTGTCTTGCAGAGTAATGCATCAGAGAACAGTGACTTAGATCATCTAGTTGATCATCTTACAACTTCAATGCAAACTTCACTTGATAAAATTGCTCCACTGAAAAAGAAAGTAATCAATCAGAGGATTGATTACTTTACTGAGTTAATACGTAACTCAGAATTGGTTCAATTCTGAGTTACGTACTTTAAAGCAGGCATCTAGAAACCAGGAGAGAAAATGGCGCTCTACTAATGTTGAAGAATTTTATTTAACTTGGAAAGATAGTCTGTTAACATATAAAAAAGCTCTCCGTAATGCTAAAACTTTATATTACTCATCTTTAATAGATAATAAAAATAACCCTAGGTTTCTGTTTAGTACTATTGCTAGACTAATTAAAAGTCCCATTTCTGTTGAACCATGTACAGGTCCTTCTCAAAAAATTAGCATATTGTGATAAAGGTCATTATTTTCCATAATGTAATGATAAAAATGAAACTTTCATATATTTCAGATTCATTGCACACCAACTGAAATATTTCAGGTCTTTAATTGTTTTAATACTGATGATTATGGCATACAGCTCATGAAAACCCAAAATGCCTGTCCCAAAAAATTAGCATATTTCATCCCACCAATGAAAGACATGTGTTTTTAATACAAAAAGCGCCAACCTTCAAATAATCATGTTCAGTTATGCACTCAATACTTGGTCGGGAATCCTTTTGCATGAATGACTGCTTCAATGCGGCGTGGCATGGAGGCAATCAGCCTGTGGCACTGCTGAGGTGTTATGGAGGCCCAGGATGCTTCGATAGC